CGACGACGACGACGACGACGACGACAACGACGACGATGACGATGATGATGATGATGATGATGATGATGATGATGATGATGATAAAGATAGTGATCAAGATTGTATGTGTGCAGCCTCAGTTTTACAACAGAACATCTCTGTAAACAATATAAAAAACAAAAAGCAAAAAAAAACCCCCACACACACATAATTCATAATCAGCCTCAACGCCTTGAGAATTATCCTCGAAAATGTTTTATGTTTTGTTTGCTGTAAACAAGGATTAACATTTTCTTTTTGTTGCAAACAGGGATTAATTAGACAAGGATCAAGGCTGTAAAAAAAGTGAAAACAGAACCCAAAAATGTGCCCAAAAAGTAGGACGTGGCAATGTCAACAGACATCCGTTTTTCATGAGCACAAATTTTCCGAACACGGAGCGCAAGTAATGCAATTATGGGCCCTCCCATAGCTTCTCCTTCGTTCACATCGAAAGGTGAAAAAAAACCCTCCGTATTTTTTTCTTACTTCCTTCAGGAAAGATCATGTAACGGTGAAGAGCATTATTTACGTCGAGGAAGATGCCGTCCCCTGAAACGTAATTATCTCCATACAAATTTGTCAAGCACGTTGTAATAAGGGCGCGCTGAAAAAGCAAGATCCTTCAAGTGATAAATATGTTAACAAACGAGTAATAAAACAAACGAGTGAAATAAAACAAACAAGATATAAAGATGTAAGGGAACATTTGAGGGACAAATGAATTTAAATTACAATCTAAGACGTAGAAAGAAAAAAACAACAACAGCAGTAAAACATATGGTATGCATACACATGCCTCTGTACAGCAATCTCCGTTTTCAAATGTTCCTTTCGTCTGTTTATTTGTCTGCTGGCCGTGTTTTCATCATTCCATCCTAACTTGTGTAAGCGTGCGTCAGACGTTACAAAAAAACAGACATGTACGTCTATTCATTCTTTCATCCATCCATTTACCCATCCATCCATCCATCCATCCATCCATCCATCCATCCATCCATAAACACAACACACACACACACACACACACACACACACACACACACACACACACACACACACGCTCGTGCGCGCACAAACACACACACACACTCACGCACACACATTAACATGCAATTAAAGAGGCAGACACGATTGCCTAACTTCTCTCGGTAAGCCAGTAATGAGCAAAAGGAGTCCAGATTGCGTTGTTAATAAAGCAAGAAGAATGCGATGCTTCGCGTCTCCTGACAGATTGTTAATTCAAATGTTTTACGCCCCCACCGACATAATTTAGATTACTGAGGAGATGGTGTGTTCCGACCCTGTTTGTCAGGGGCACCTGGGATGAGCGGGATAAGTATCCCAGTGAAGAAAGCTTCACAGAGATATCCACAGAAACTGAAGTTTACATTTTTAGTTTTCAACGTCAAAGAGCTTTACAATACAACCCATACGCCTTTCAATTCCATTGTGTGGCTTACCAAAGTTGTATAGACAAGAATCTTGGCCAAAACAATGTTTCTAAATACAGAAATGCAGAACTCGCTGAAGCAAAGAGCTACAGAAGGCTGCAGGAACTCTCCAAGTAATATCATCCATGATCGCAGCAAAACCACAGCCAAAACAGTTGGCATAGATCTTTTTGGCTGAAACCATTAGTTAGAGGTGCTTTTGATTTTGGCATCTTTATATGCTGGTGGACATCCTCGTATTGAATTTTTTATCTTGAGAAATGTCAAATAGCTTACTTTTGCCACATGTACAAAATGTGGCATATTTACTTTAAAGATTAATTCCGGAGCCGATGCGTTTCGAGCCCCCCTAATACCCCTCAAATCAAAGAAGCCATGCCTATTTGAATAACACCTACAATGCGCGAGGCAAAGGCTGAGCTGAAAAAACACTTTGGCATTTTATTTGGTAAAATTTAAGTTAAGTGTCACAAAAAATAATTGTGTTGTTAAGAAAACTATTGCAATAAAAAGAAGACTTTTTTGCAACTTTCAGAGCATATCGAGATCTGTGAGCTCGAAAGGAAATTTGGCACAGGTGACTTGATAGTCGCATGGATATTGTGGTGTAGAAATTTTTTTTCAAAATATTTGTCTTTTATCATTTCAGCTTGGTATTTGTTGTCTGAGCCTATGAAGAGAAATGTAAAGTTGCATGCGACGAACCAACACAGGTGACGCTATTATTGATAAACATTGTTCTAAGCAAAGCAAGATTATAGTGTAATCAATAATAGCAAAATACAGGGTGTACATCCTATACATATTACCATTTTCACAATTTGCAAAAGAAAACAAAAAAACATATAAGAATGTATTGCTTGAGATCACATTACTCATCAACTCCTTCCATGCATTTAAAGAGGCTTTACTAGGATGGTAAAAGGAAACAATGAAACTATTGCTAAAGCATGTGCTCTTTGAAGAGTAAAACCGGAACTACAATGAATCACGAAGAGACATTATTACTTTCAGGATATATTTGTGAAAAAAATATGATGTATTGATATGATTTCCGCTTAAAAATATTTGCATGGGCACTAGAAATGTTTCATACTCTTGGCTCACAACGGGAACAGTTTCACATTAATCATTGTGATATTGAATTAATTATACAGCCACTGTTACTTAATGAATTGAGAAAATAGTCATAGACACGTCACAGTGCAGAGTATACATAATTTGCAAAACTATTCCGGTAAGTCGTTCCGTAATCAAACGTCTATAAAGTTATCTTTGAATGGGTTAGAGTGCAGTGTGTAATAAGTCAATATATTATTTACAAAATTTAGAATATTGCACGTAACAAAAATGTTTTTAACCTGATAGGAAATGTTTTGAATTTATTTTACTAATCTAAAGTGTGTTTTAGAAACTTCAAACTGGTGAACAATGAGGAAAAAAAATGTTCTGTGTTTGTGGCTAACAAAATTTGCTACTGAGCAAACGCATACACTGGCACAGTCACTTCTTTACTCTGTCTGCAGACCTTTTCAGCAACATAAATGAGATTGTAACATAGGCAGTAGAAAAGGACATCCAGAAACATTTCGGACTCAATGTAGTGCCAGAATAAAAGCAACAACAAAAATGCCAAGTGGGGTGGGGGGGGGGGGACTTTATTTTCACTCCAGTAGAAGAATTTAATCATGGTTTCGAAAGCAACTATGCCGCTATTCTCTGAACTGAACCAATTAACTAATGCACACCCAGACAGTAGCCGAGGACGTCACGAGACGCTTAATTCTATGTTAAACGTTACAGAAGAAATTACTGATAACCAGAACAGCTAGGTTTCATTTTACATTGTGTATAATAATATGCTCTTCTAGTCACATTTCGGAAACGCCTGACCGTGTGTTTGGGAAGAATTCCCCTGTAGAAAAAAATGTGAGTAATCATGTTGACATATGAATTTTGACAATGCAAACACAAAAAAATGAGACACATTAATTGGAAACGGGGTTAGTTTGGGGAGGGGGCGTAGTTGAATTGCCCCCTAAATACTGTCGTATTACTGTTGTCTTCCATTTATCGATGAACCCTTCATAATGACAAAGTAGCTTGATTCAGCTGGTAAAAAGAACATCTAACTATATCGACCTCTTATATTCTACGCTACAACCAGCTCAGTTAAAAAGACTTTATACAAAAATCAGTTTAAAAACCATATGACATGCCTACTCTTTATTCAAGCAGCACGCTACCCAGATCTGCTCCCACAACACGCTCTATTTAAGCTCATTTCAAGTGGATTTAGAAAGTGCCGCTATATGGAGTTGCTTAAGAAGTTGTCACATGAACAAATCAATCCTAACGATAAAAACATATTATTATTTAGATTGCTATCCGTCTTAAGTGTCATTTAGCCATCTGCTTCTGTAGCAATTGTTCGATTCTACTCCACTGAGCTCCGTCGTTTGCAAAGTCTGAGTTTTAAAACACGCTTCACTTTAATTTGTTTCTATCATATTGCTTGAAAGGATAACAAGTAAACGGCAGTGTCGTTTCATTGACCTCCTGTCATTTCATTATAGTACAGCTTCATGTCAATAATACAATACCAATTTTCCAAACAAAAGGTTTGAGGGGGCGAATGTACACATTCAATACAAATGCACACATGAATTCACTGAAAAGAGATCTAATGATGACAGCAGCGGCAGCAGCAACAACATCACAAAAATGACCACAACGACATGAAACAACAACTCCACCAACAACAATGAAAACAACAGCGAAGAATCAGTTCATACTGTACAATAAATACAGACTCATCACAATGAAACATTGAAATGGTGTTTGGTAGAGGTGTGCTGAAGTCGCTCCGTTTTTCGGCCCTTTCGTGTCGTCCCCCACGGGTCCCGCAGACAGAGGCAGGGCAATCCCGCCCACCCAGGAGTGGCCCCCAGGAGCGGTGTTGATACTCATGTCCAGGTCCACCTGATCACATTTGACCATCGGCTCCTGAAACGCCGTGGGCCTCTCGTGCTGATAACCAGTCCCCGGCTTTTTGTCCACTAGTCGTTGACCTACATACAGCAATAGCTTCCGATGTACCATCTCCATTTTCATGATGTCACGCTCCATATTTGGTAGCCGAATCCCCAGAGTGACGCACCCGCCTGTCCATGTTACATCCTGTTCCTGTCCAACTTTCCACTCGTGCGCCCTCCCGCACCCCTTCCCGCTGTAGTGGTTCATGGAGTCCGCCGTGGCCGAGTCGTGGGGCGTGACCTTTAGGCGGGTCACCCGGAAGCTAAAATCCTTCGCTCCCTGCACCAGATGTGAGGAAGTCCCCCCGGCGTAGCTGCCCTTTGCGTCCAGAGAAAACGAGGGTTTGTGGCACAGCGAGTCGTGGTAGTAGTCGTACTGGCCTTGCCATGACACTCCGTCCGGGAGAAAACCTAACCATCTAAAGACAAAAAAGGAAGGAAATTAGAACAATTTAAAGACTCTTTGCTTTTCAAACTGAATACCGTGTTGGAAATGAAACAAGCCCATACGTCGTCTATGTTATAAAAGACAGAAGTTTTACCGTAGCAGGTAAAAGACGTTACTTAAACTTGATAAAGCCATACGCCAGTCTAAAATACGTATAATTAATTATATTATCGAGCTAAGGGTGGACCAAAAGTCGGGGGCACGAGACACTCAATTCGTATCATGTTGGGCTACAGCTCGGATGGGTTCGATTCAACTCTTGAGAGAGCTGTTCTAAAACTTGAGATTTCAGATGTTTTCAAATCTAGCGACCTTTTCGATCTGTTCCTATCGAACAACGATATTTAATCCAAACACCCGGCCTTTTAAGAATCCCTTACGGAATTGAAAGAGACATTGAAACCAAACTTTATCAAATCAGAGGGCCTAAACACGGTTCGAAAAGGAATTGATAAGAGATGTAACAAACCCTCCAAAACATGCATTTTTCAGAAAAACTGGGTTTATATATAATATAAGGGCAACATTAAGTCATGTAATATACCTTTAATTAGGGTTTGGACAAGGTGTTCTGACTACATGTTAAGTTACCGGAGTCTGAGGTGAAGAGGGTAGGCGCTTCGCGATCGAACACAGAAGAACCCAATATGTGATTCCCGAGTTGTGAAAATTTCTATCGAGTATCTCGATCTTGCTGACGGGACGTTGGGTCTCTTTCAGCCCAGGTTGACCCAGACAGGCAAGATCGAGGCCCATGATCTAACTAGTGAAGACGAGGATGTAAAACGTTTGCGTATTTATCAAAACAAGTTCATTTCTGTTTTCCACAAGTGATCTGAATAGCGGTTAATCTGCACAAAGAAATAGATAGGAAAGTAATACTGTAAAGAGAAATAGAAGTAGTAAACACCAACAACCCTCTTATTCTCCAAAACTGGTCAACCATTTGCAGGATATAAAATATGAATGGGGGGCATAAGATAAGTTTAAGAAATAAATGACAACACTATTGTGAGTAAAACTACCATCTGTTATGAATAAAGTCTTTTTTTCTGAGTAGCTTTGATATGCGGTCGTTTGTGGGCTTGGAAGCTCTTGAGAAACTGAAACACATGAAGTTCTTTGCCCTTAAGGAGTATTTCTGAGTCTCAAAATTGGCATGATTTTTATAGTGTATCATTTCAGTAAACCTGGTTTGTTGCCTAAGGGAAGAAGAGTCAGTAGCATCCCCCCCCCCCCAAAAAAAAAAACACCAAAAAACCCCCAGGGGACGTGGGGGGGGGGGGGGGGGGGAGGTGCGGCTATATTTTGTTCAAGGAATTGTAACAATCTTTAAAGGAATTGAACTCGTACAAAGTAATCTGTCTATATTTTGTTTCGAAATATCACTCAGCGTCAGGAGATATATTACGGGGATTTATAATATCTCCACTGACACCCTGTCCCCCGGTTCTGATATCTGGCAGGAAAAGGGAGGGATGGGGGGTTGTGTAGCAAACATAATATATCACGCTGGGCTGCAGTGCTGGCGACCCTGGTTCCCTTCTTCGATTTGGTGTGACGTGGAAAGTTGGCAAGCAATCTTGCGGCCACCAGCCTCTGTGGTGTAGCACACAGGAGACCCGAATTTGATTCCCAGTGGGGAGAATTTTGATTGAGTATTGGGTTGGCCCTGACAGGCAGGGTCTGAAGCCAGCCTCCCAAATGATCTAAATTATGTTGATGAGTGTGTAAATATACATGCATTAAACAAAATAATTAAAACCTTTCAGGGCTTGAAACTCCACCCATCAGGGTCGGCTCTATCGTAGATGACTGTACCGTCTACAACTCCGGCGAAGTGCACTGGTGGAAATTCTAAAACCATAACAGACTAAGCCTAAGCTCTCCCTGCCCCCCCCCATTTCGGATGCGCAGATTTCAGTGCTTGTTTGGCACATTGCTTGAAACGATTCTGTAACACCTCACACGTCACTGCGATCGATCTAAAACCTTGATTTCATGTTTTCAAGTCCACTAAATCGGGTACGGGACTACAAACTTGGACAAATTGCCTTTTCAGCAGACACGATGAATTCACATCAATCGACATCAACCCATTACCGACGATTTAATAGTTTCTGTCACCAACGACGCGCAGCTTGCGTTGAAATCCTCATAAGTGTTAAAAGAGCCTCTGAAAGCACTTAAAGCAGAAACATTTTATGGGCACGAACAATAAATACATAACGTAGGACCAGGAGCCAAAAATACTTTACTGTGTTTTGCTTTGTTTTGTTTTTGGTTCTATTTCTTTGTTTCTTTGTTGTTGTTGCCGTTTTGTGTTGTGTGTGTGTGTGTGTGTGTGTGTGTGTGTGGTTTGGGGGGGGGGGGGAGGGGTGCAAAAAAAACCCCAACATCCACATATAATTATATTTCAGGCTATAAGCAACTAACAATATTCACTATTTGATTCTTTTTAAAAATGTGAGTTCGTAATGCTAATAAGCAATCTTTTGTGCTGCAAGTGCAACATCATACCAATGACTTGTATTATAGTATCCCAGACTGTACATTATAATGAGGCTAAAACAGCACCTGGACATGGGTGGCTGGTGCCACAATATATAAATCATTGATGGTCAGGTCGGACTGTACATTATCATGAACGTCGCTCGTTGATCTCTATAAAGACTTCGTTGCAAAGCGATGTACCTTTGGCATCCACATGACGAGCAAAACGTCACTTTTGCTAATATCAAATGCCGCAAACATGTTTTTTGTCAGCACCGGTGGACACTCCTTGGCTTATGTTATAGTGCAGTTTGTCTACAACAATTCTCCTAGACCGTGAACTATTTTGTAGAGTGCATTCTTGAACTCAGATACTCGAACTTGCAGATACCACGACTGTCTTTTTTGTTTGTTGTCTTTTTCACTGATTCGTGTCTTTTATATCATATTTGTTACACACCGCCCCCTTGGTATAATCCAGATCATTTGGGAGGCAGGTTGCCATCGAGACCAACCATTGTCGAGTTGTATAAAACATTCCTGCTGGAGATATTCGAAAAAAAAGTGTCCTTCTGGGGAATGGATCTCCCGTCTTCTTCGTGCGACGGCCAACGAGCAAACTGTTAGATCTACATCAAAGACATCGAGTCCAGCACGGGTTTTGCGAATAAGTATCGGCTTGAGAGAAATTCATTTCCCACTCCACTTCCCTTCTGAACTGACTGCTTGCTGAAGCTGTTTCCCGTTTTCTTCTTCTTTTTTTTTCGGTAGGGTCCTTTTTTATATTTTTTTCTTTTAAAGAAGGGCCAAATGGTGTCTGTGGTGTAGCGGTTCAGCGCTTAATCCTCGCTTGCAGTAGACCCGAGGTCGAATGTCGTGTGAGGAGAATTGTAACTGAGTATCTCTGTCTTTCTGCTACGACTTTGTGTCCTTGTCAGCCCGGGTTGACCCAGACAGGCAAATTCGAAAGTGCATAATAAGTGATCTAAATTGTGTCTATGGAGACATGAAAACACCTACAGGGTGATCCCAAAAAAAAATAAATTACAACTTGTTTTGTAAATATCTTTCTCCATACTGAAGTTTTGCGTTTCAGATCTGAACAAAACGTTTGGAAGCCAAAAGGAATTTTTCTGATATGTATATTAGATAAGTCCATTGAATGGTTTTGCTCTATATAACGCATTAAAAAACATCTAATTTTTAACCTTGTCGCCATTTTCATAGCATGATGCACCAGTTTGCATTAGGCCTACCACTAAAAGTTGCAACAACGCGCCATATTGCAAGCTACAGCAATCTAACAAGTCAACAGAAGTCTGCAGATATTTTTTTTCCGAAATTTTGTTTGCCTGCTGAGATCTTGGCTACGATTAATAAATAGCAGAGAGCTTTTTGTATTGAACATTACCTCTCCACAAACTCACCATCCATGACATTTCGTAAGTTCTGCGCAGGGCATGGAGAGAATGCTTAGGTGCCCTCAAGACCTTTGGCGTCATGAGTAGAGAAGTTCCGTCAGTTTGGATCTATAGCGAATCAGAACTAAAAAATTCTTTAAAAAATGACCACTTCAGGTCGAACACGCACCATGCGCAACCCATTAAACGTAACCAGAGTGCAGATTTCAGTAGCCAAGTCCCATGAAACGTCTGTCCGTAGACGATCTGCAGCTATGACTTTCCTACACATCAACAGTCTGCATTCTCATGGCAGATCTTAACCTACGACTATACCATGTTCATCTTTGCTAGGCCGAGATGGCATGGATCAAAGTATGGCAATGTGTTCATGATTCCTGGATTGTCTTGTAAAGAGGGATCATTTCTCCGATGACATTTGGTTTAGTGCAAAGCTCATTTTCATCCTGCGGGACATGTTAACTCCGAAAATGCTGTCTATTGGGCACCCCACTCTATTGTCTCTAGAAGCCACTTCTGGGTGAACATGTACAGTGTATGTGGCTTTAAAAACTCATGGTTTAGCAGATCCTTGTATTAGGGCGCCTTTGAACATTTCGAACGACGCGTTAAAAATGTGTCGAGTCCAAAGGAATGAATGTGGAGCACTGCTTCTGGGAATTTCAGAATGAAATCATTACGTTTTTAAAACTGTAAAAGATATTAATTATTGTTTAATTGTCACAGGGATGGAAAACTAATGCCAAAGGGAAAATAAAGAAAAAGGTCAACTTATCTTTTCATGACTTCCTTTACGAGATTTTTTTCAAACATTGGTGAACTTTGCGTTTTTAGGTGCTTTTTTCTTTTAGCTGTTTCCGTTTTCAAAACATATTTCTTCTTCGTGGATCTTATATAAAACAAATTCCTTTTGAATGAATTAGGTCTGTTCCAAATTGCAGCATTCTAGAACAATTTTTGCGCGAGGTATTCAGAAAAAGAGTTGTAAAGTTTTTTTGGGATCACCCTGTACTTATAAAACACTTACATTAATTGTCACATGGTGGCGCACCAGCTGGACATTTACCCCCCCCCCCCCCCCAACCTCCCGAAAAAGACAACAACAACCCCAAAACAAAAAAAACGACGTTAAAAAACAAAACAAAACAAGGACCTGGAAAGTACGCTCTCCGTCCAGGTCAAAGTCAACGAGAATCAAAAAGTCCCAAAGGCATTGAACTGAAGGGCACCTCGACAAGCACGCGTGTGTCGTAGTCAATCAGCAAAAATGGCAGTTACCCTTACGGGTCTATTAGTAAAATGCATCGTAAAACAAACTCCCTTGTGGCAACGGAATAGGTCGTAAAGAGGTTTCATTTTCGAAGTGGAATGGGATTTGACTCTCTTTTGACGTCCATCGAATGGTGTTCGTCCAGCTCGTTGTTGTGTCAAGGGACCGAGTGCATGGCACTCACAAAGATCTCTGTGTTAAACGGCGGTCAGACCTCAGTGACCGTCGAGTATACTCGTCTCCCGACTTTGAACAAACCCTTCTCACTTTTTGTATCTAGATTCTAGTCCTTTCTCTCCCAGCTTTCACTGCACGGAAGAAAACGCATTCTTTGTTCATTTTACAAGAATATGTTCATTAAAATTAAACTATTCTGGAAGTTGCGATGCTTTTGTCTTTAAATAAAGGCATTGTTCTGATCGACCCGCCAGCCACAAGACAGTTAGTTACAATAGTGTTAAAATAAAGAAAGACAACAATAGCTATGCAGCTTAATCTTGCAGAACTGCTTATTGTCCTGGGCTTTGAAGTATTTGAAGGTTCTTCGATTTTAATAATTACCCATCCCCTCACACACAAACACACTCACATACACAAACACATACACACAGACAGACACACAGACAGACAGACACACACGCATACACACACACACACACACACACACACACACACACACACACACACACACACATCCAAACACATACACACATCCAAACACATACACACAGTACACACACACACACACACACACACACACACACACACACACACACACACACACACACACACATATCACCCCCCCCCCCCCAATCGGAAGTACAGAAGTACAAACAACAGCAATGTCCTTTTGATAACCCAGTTAAGAACAAAGGGTTTACCTGTGTCTTAGACGTGTTTTTCCATATTGGTTGGGATTAGGTTTTCCTCTGGAGGAGGTAAATCAATTAGTGACAGAATATTGATTTAGACCTAAGGGGTCATAGTATGATTGGCAATGGAGCGATACACCTAATGCTTTGTGTACTCTAGGATTAGTGTGTCTGACGACCATAAGAGCAGGTGCTAGTATACAAATAGATTACGAACAAGACTGTCGCGACGTCGATTTATTTAATTTCCTTGTGTACATAGTTTTATTGCTATCTCAGTCAAAACAAATGACAAGGGTGGAACAAGAGCGCACTTTTGTTCAAACCTCCAGCACAAAAAGCCATACATTTCGACTTGTTCTTTACAGATAAATCTCTCAAGGGTTCACAATTACTACTCTTTTTTCTTGCTTTTCGTCGCCTCGAGGGATCAATAAACGGTACAAGGAACTGAGCAAAAAAAACCTCTGAGACATCTACTCACGTTTTATGGTGAATATGCAAATTAGTAGCCAAAAAATTCTCCGAAAGGTACGGATTCCACCTCAAGCTGAGCAAGCAAAATTACAAATCCCTATTGCTGTTCAATCCCCGCCTTCCTTGACTGTGGACTATGAGTATCTTAAAACAAAGCTAAAGGAGACAACTTATAGGCAATATGTAAATCATCACCAGCATGAGAAGAAAGGAAGTAGCCAAAAAGGTTTTGAAAATGGGTATTCCAATGTAAAGCGCATTGAGCTACTTTTTTAGAAATACGCTATGTAAATGTTTTATATCATTATATTATTAAATGCTAGGTCTTAAACAGACAAGAGCGGTCATGATTCACCATTAATCTCTTTGTTCGGCGAAAAGAAGAAACAGACAAAGGGGAAAAGAAAAAAAGACCCAGAGCAAAAACATAAAACAAACAGACAAACAAATAAACAAAGAAGAAAAGGGATTTTAAAGAAAGATCTCAATGGTTGAGAAACATACTGCGTGGCAAAGACTCACACTGCATTCTTTTATAATAGTAATAATAATAATAATAATAATAATAATAATAATAATAATAATAATAATAATAATAATAATAATAATGATAATATAATTATTATTATTATAATAATAATAATAATAATAATAATAATAATAATAATAATAATAATAATAATAATAATAATAATAATAATAATAATAATAATAAAAAAGCATTTGTAAGCGCATGTCCCTACTCGAAAGCAAGCTCTACGCGGTTTACACAATATTATTTCCCCAGAAGACCATAAAACACTCAGAAACATTCTCAGCTTTCCGGGAAGCATGCAGTGCAAGCAGCTGGTTAAGCGCTGAAACACTAACCAACTTGCAAGATCTTTCACTGTCTATAGCTGGGTACCAATTCCCACCTGGGTGAAGAGAGGAAAATTCGTGTAAAGTGCCTTTCCCAAGGACACAAAATCGGGCCCGCGGCTCGAACCCCCGAACCCGCAACCTCACGATAACGAGTCCGGTAGCCTAACCACAAGGCCACCGACGCCACACGTTACAGGAAAAACAAACAAAATGCCCACCTCATCATCATAAAAAAACCCAAAAGACTACATACCAAAAGGGGGGGGGGGGGAATCCGAAAATCAACCTCACCCCCGCCCCCCCCTCCAAACACAAACAAACAAACCAGCCAAAAAAGAAGTAGAGCTCACCTGGTGAGAAACATGCCGTACTGCCTGGACTCACACCTGGTGCTGACCCACTCGCCTTGTAGGCTGAGCAGTGTCCCCGTGTGACTGCTCAGTCTGGGTGGAGACAGGGGACCGGAGCTGGCGATGCGGGCACACACACCGCAGCCAGGGGTCTGAGGAAGTAGTTTTAGTTTTAGTAAGAGTTTTACAGCACTTGCAACATATTAAGGTCATATAAGTGCGAGGGTTAGAGGTGTTACAAGGGAGTAATAAACACAAAAAAGAAGGAGGGGAGATAAAGACGAGAGATGTTTGATAGGAAAGAAGGAGCAAACCACACCAGAGCACTCACCAACCAATCACCGAGGAAGTAGGAAGCGGTATAAAAGTTTTTGGTTGGTTTGGTGAGTGTTTTACGACGCTCGCAATTGCATAAGGTCATATGTGAGTGGGCGTGATAAGAGTTTGATCATAATTATTATATCATATCATATATGGTTGCTTTTAAACACAAGGAGCCTATCCCGAAAAATGCTGTTTTGATAAAATCGAAGTTAAAGTTTTTGCCCCTTGTTGAATTTCTTCAAAAGACCAGGAGAGTTTTGTAAAAAAACAAACAACAACAACATCAAAATATACACACCAATGAAACCAAACTTCTCCTATAGGTAGGGCAATGGCCACCTTTGGTGCAGGTCAAGATTTCTGGAAACCCCCGGAATCTGGTTTAGCCCGCTTGTCCTTAAAAGTAACCATATAGTGGGAGCTTTAAAATATTGTCCACCCTTCATCTTCACATTCACCTACTCCGTAGTCTGTCAGACCGTTTGGGCATCATTGTAGATTTTGCAACCAGTTTATTCCACTACTGGCAGTTTTCAACTTTCTCTAGAATGATGTTCCAGTCACAGCGATTCCACTATTTAATGTTGTCTCCCCATCGTTTTCTCGTTCTGCCTCTTCGTCTCCCTCCTTGTGCTGGTTCCTGTAGGATAGTCTTGGCCAGTCCAGATGTGTCTTTGATGCGTTTTTCCCTATAGATAGGGATTAGGTTTTCAACTTGATGAGGTAAATCAATTAGTGACAGAATACTTATTCAGACCTAGGGGGTCACAGTATGATTTGCAAGCGAGCGATACACCTAATACTAATGCTTTGTGTACGCTAAGATTAATGTGTCTGACAACCATAAGGACATCATTGTAGATTATGCAACCAGTTTATTCCAATACTCGCAGTTTCCAACTTGTTCTAGTATGATGTTCCAGTCACAGCGATTCCACGATTTAATGTTGTCTCCCCATCGTTTTCTCGTTCTGCCTCTTCGTCTCCCTCCTTGTGCTGGTCCCCATAGGATAGTCTTGGCCAGTCCAGATGTTCGTTTGACATACCCCTACCACTTCAGTTTTCGTCTTTTCACTGAAGCCTTGAGGTTTTCATAGGGCTCAGTGGCGTTCCAAATTCTCGAAATGGTCCTAACTCCAAGGCTTTTTTTACGTTATAGTAAATGCTTTACATCCCCATCGTCATGATTTAGATCATTTAGGAGGCTGCCTGTCTCGAACCAGGGCAGAGTAGGATACATCATCCTCGCAGTCATCAGAGATAGTCAATAAAAGAATCGCTAAGTGAGGATCGAATTTAGACCTTTTAGCGCAACTTAACAGCAAACAGCCTAACCTTTACACCACAGATGCAAAAGATCCGAGTTTTATCAAAATACGGAGAAATTCATTATATCGAGTTTATCTCTTTCAACCCATTGAGATTGCGCTCACCAATTTTCGATTTGCATAACAGGATGCAATATTTTGAAGTGTTTTGAAACGATTAATTAGAAGATCCAAATACAAGATATAAAAGCATCCAGGGTTCACGTTTGCAATCAACATCCTGTAAAATATAAATCTTCAATTAAAAAAAACAACCTTTCAGTGTTAATTATTCTTTTCGGGGTACAAAAAGCAAGGCATAACATGATTATAATTTCCTCTCTTTACTTTACTGGAATACACCCACAGAGATTCTTTTTCCAAAACGCAGGCCTGGCACGGTTAAAAACAAATGGTAACATTCAATATTTTACAGGATCAAAACGAACTAATTGGTGTTTAAAAAGATGCTCAATGTTGTTATTGCAACCTTAAACCAGCTCATTTCCGTACGGCGATCTTGTTAAAAATAAATGTGTTACGACACGGTGGAAACAGGCGCTCGTCGATTTTTAGCCATGACAAGTTATTGGTGTTATCTTAAAACTTGTCCATTTTCTTGCTTTTAGTGATTTATATATATATATATCTATCTATCTATCTATCTATCTATCTATCTATATATCTATATATATATATATATATATATATATATAATAAGAGCATTTGTATCCCGCCTTTCCACACAACATTGGCCCAAGGCGTACATAGGAGATTAAAAACGCATTCATACTAACACCATGCACATTCATCATGTGCGCACTTTTTGACAAATATATATGTCTACACGGAATAGAAGTTAATATATTTGCAACTGAATAAGTGGAGGTCGCCAGATTTTAGATGTTATATTTACGAAAAATTGGCCGCCAAAGTTTGGTGACCCTTTGAAAAGTGCAAATGTACTTTTTTGGTGCTTTTCACCAAACTTTTTCGGTAAAATCTATGGAAGAATCTGTTTTTAAATAGATATGTGGGGTGTTGAGTAAAAAGAAAAAAGACCCATTGATCTAAAATGACGGTTTCTTTGATTTCACTTTTTTTAAACAATTGTCTGATTTCCCCCACGATGTCTCACAAATTGTAAACTCTGCTAGTCAGGTACGGTCGGAGCTGTGCGGACTGTGGAGGCTGTCAGATGTATGACATGCGGGGCGTATTTTTCTACAAGACACATACACAATTAATATACGTTGTTTCGACAGTAAAACATACAGTAATAGTAAACTTTAAACCTCTTTTCGTAACTTACTTGACCTAGCACGCAGACCCGGGTTCCCCTCTTTCCCTGGGACTACGTGTGTGTCTTCTTGACGTCAAGTGTTTTAGACGCTTTCGACTTATTGTGAGAATGGTAAGGGGGGTGGGGGGTCCGAAATTTACTTTTACTGGACCAACCATCTATGCATTCAACGGTCAATTGTTGTTTGATCAGGAGTTCATAGCAGAACAAAGGAGATCCGGACAGAAGAAGACTGAGACGGTACAGAGAAACTGTGCTACCCCAATTCCGACCATTAATGAATTATTTATAGAGGCAGCAACTATGCATTTTTAGAATCTACTATCAGCTTTAGATCTTGCTAGAGACCGAAAGCTCCTTCTCCCCTCGACGCCCTGGGGGTACAAGAGGAGGGATAAAGTAAAGTAAAGTAAGTATCTGCTTTTGATAGAATTTTACCACCCTTACGACAACGATATTGTGCTCCAGTTGCTGGAAACAAAAACGGTATACAACCGTCCCCCCCCTTTTTTTTCTCCACTATTTCATAACCAATCGGTAACCATTTTGTAACGCTTAGGATCTTCGTTGTTCCATCCAAAAGAATTCAGTTCCGGGCCGAGAAATCCATTTATCAATCATCTCTCTCTTTCAGCAGGGATACTGTATCCCGTTAAGCTAGGGTGTGGCATGAGGGAAGGGTAAAAGATGCTCGTCTTCGAAATTATATTTATTGTTCCGACAGCGGACCATAAACATTTAGGGTACTAAATACCCCCCCTTCCCAAACCCC